GATGCCAGAACCAAGAGGATGGAGAAAGCCAAATGCAGCAGGAGCTTTTTGTCTTTACATACCAGTTTCTTGACATGTGGCTGTTCCATTAACATTTACTGCTAGAGGCTAACATGGAAATTTTCTGTCTATACCACAGGCAGCAGTTGGGATACGTAAATCTTTTTCAGGTTCATGAGTCAGGGTAGACAATGTGGGTTTCACAACGAGATGCTTACTCTTTTAGATGAAGAAAAGTTCCTGAAAAAGGTTTTCTAGAAATAGTCTCTGACAGAGGAAGAGAAAATGGGAGGGAGAGGAGAGGGATACAAAGGCTGAGATGTTGGTGGTACCTTTTCCTGATTATTCCTATCTTAGAATTATAACACGATAGTGTGAATATTTATAAGTATGTATTTTCACTGTGAACCAAAAGGAGACACTAACTTCCTCTGTGTATCATATAGATTGCTTCCTCAAGTAATTTATATATAAAAAAAAAATTGGTACTCCAAAACACTGCAGTTTGTGTATGAGACTGCCTTGTTCTATCATCCCTAAATGGATGGGAGGCTAAGCCACTCATAATTGGAAAGACAGATCCCAGGAGGAGTTTAAAATGTACTGGCCTCAAAAATAATCTCTGGGATATTGTAGCAGCTCCTTTATAGAATAGATGACTCACTTACACTTAGGCTATATAAAATGCGTGTTGCGAGACTGCTTTCAAAAGCTCTTGAAAGCATGTACTTTCCCAAGCTAGCTAACCATTCACACACAGTCATGTTCCAAATATAATGTTTTTAGCAAGCCCGTGCAATTCCTCTGGCTGTCTTTCACCTAACAAGTCAAGTTTCAACCAATTCTATGTTGCAATGCGTTCTATTTCAGAGAAGCATACAATTGCTAATCTCAATACTCAGTTTTCCCAACTGCTAGCGTTGTGGGATGTATGGATTTGATTCTTTCGCCTGACTCTGGCTCCAGCTCAGTCCTACCCATAACTGGGCAACAAATCAAGAGTTGATTTGTTGAAAATACAAGCAAAACTATCAAACTCTTAGCAAGATGTAGAAAGAAGATTCAAATTATGAGGAACTTTTTGTAAATGTAGACATCAGAACAGATGCCACAGAAATTCAGCTAAAAAGCATTATAAACAACTGTACACCAACTTTCATAATCTTGATTAAATGAAAAAAAGCAGATAAACAAAATAACAGACCTGAATAGACCAGTAGCAAGCAACAAAACTGACACAAACTGCCTCCTAACTAAGAAAAATGCCAGATTAACATCGTATCACCGATTACCTCTATGAAGAACCGAAACAAATGCTTCCTTCAATTTCTAAAAAACAAAGAAAAACTAGACAGAAGGGGATACATCCAAACTCATTCAATGAGACACATTTTCTTTATACTCAAACCTGACAAAGACAACAAAAATGAATTACATGTTAATATCTCGGAGGAATTACAAATACTAGAATCCTCATCAAAATGCTGGCAAATCAAATCCATATGAGAGAGGTTATTCACTGTCATCCAGTGGACTCCATTCAGAGGCAAGCATGATTTTACATAGGCAAACAAAGAAACACTGCAACGACAGTTGTAGGCAACTGCCTAAGTTGCCTTGTACCTGGGCAAGTGTTACACTGCTGGGAAAAAAGCAGCCAGTAGTTGGCAGGCATTCTAGGCCTGGTTAATGCCAAATTGCCAAATTCGTTTTAACTATACAAGTGTGCCAGCATAGTTTCCATATCTATCTACCTACCTACCTACCTACCTACCTATCTACTTTAAAGATTTATTTTTATTTTTATTGGAAAGGCAGATATACAGAGAGGAGACAGAGAGAGGAAGATCTTCTGTCCGATGATTCACTCCTCAAGTGAGTGCAACGGCCCATGCTATCCCAATCCGAAGCCAGGAGCCTCTTCCGGGTCTCCCACGCAGATGCAGGGTCCCAAAGCTTTGGGCCGTCCTCGACTGCTTTCCCGGGCCACAGGCAGGGAGCTGGATGGGAAGAGGGGCTGCTGGGATTAGAACCGGTGCCCATATGGGATCCTGGGCATGCAAGGCGAGGACCTTAACCACTGCGCCACTGCGCCGGGCCCCTACCTATCTACTTTAAAAAATATATGGGGAAGATGACCCATGCCAATTCTCTCGGGGGTGGGAGGAGGGTATGAATTGTCAAGAAAAGAGGGTTTAGGGACGTGTGAGGATGAGGGGTCAACAAAGCAGTATTTTACAGGTGTAGAATGACTGGGAGCTTCAAGAATTAGGTAACTGCACTCACAGGTAAACAAAGGGAGCTGACACATGGTGGTTTGGAGAGGTGAGACCAGAGGCATATCTGAATCAGACCAATGTACCCACCCACGTGAGATACCAAGGTTACACCTGGCGGCATCGCCTGCCCCTCACAAGGACACATAAAGCTAGGGTTGTGGCACCTGCCTGGCAGGGCTAAGCCACATTATCTCCCAATAAGTGTCAGGGCAGTGGATGGACCATGGAAGACTGGGCCATGACACTGACCAGCACGTGAGAGAACCAGGTCTGGGGGCAGATTCTGCAGTGGATATGTGGGCTCACCCCTGTGGATCTGCAGTACCTACTCGGATTAGTGATTTACCAAGCTAGGCATGACCAAAGAAGTCAATGATACTCATGGGAACTGTGGTTGAAAGCTGGCCAGGCTCACTCACCGGTATGTGCAGGAGCCAGGATCAAGTGTGGGCCATCAGGCTAGGCTACTTCACTCAGGCTCACAGGAGAGCCAAGCATAGGGATAGGCTGGGCAGGGCTAGACTACAGCCCCCAGTGGCAAGACTTGGGCTTGGAAGCAGGCCAAATCAGGCTACAGCATCCTATGGCAAGTACTGAGATTGGGGGCAGGCGTGCCAGGCTGTCAGGGCACTATCAGCATGTGCAAGATCTGGATGGAAGTGTACCTGACAGGAAAACTAAGGGCACTTCCTGGCTAGGTTGTGGTTTCCACTGTGAGCACAAGAAGTAGGGATGGGGCAGAGAGGTCTGAACATGGCTGCTGAGTCTGGAAGTAGGTTTTGCTGTGCTAGGCCCAAGAGAGAGTAGATGCAAGACAGGGACTAGGTCCTGGAAACTGCCAATCCATCTGAGAGCCTGGTCTGGGGTTGGCCCACATGGGACCTAGCTGTCATACTTCCCGATGAGCCAGAATGAGGACAATTTGGCAGGGCTGCAGTACCTGACAGTGAAGGTCAGGACAGGAGGTGGTCCCTGTCAGACTGGGCGGTATACCTACCAGAGCACATGAGATTCAAACCTGGAACCTGACTGGGAATTCTTCTGTTAGGCCATAGATCCTACTAGTGAGTCTGAGAGCCAAGGCTGACGGCAGCTCAGGGCAGGCCGGGTTACAGTATCCATTGGCATATCAGAGGTCCAAGTCTGTGGGCAGACAAGTCCAGGCCAGTCTGCAACACGTCTTAGCAGGTGCATACAGATTTTGGTCTAGGGTCATCCCAGGTAATGTTTCTTCAGGGACTCCTCAACTAAACTATGGACTCAAACCCTAGCCACAGGGAAAATTACAGGATTGTAGTACAAGCTTTGAATACATATTCAGGGGCCAGGCCTCCTCAGTTGCTGATGCCTTTGTAGCAGACAGCAGATCCAGATGCACACAGGGGATGTGACAGCCAGATCATCTAGACCATCAAAGGAAGGTGAATGCCACATCAGAGGATGCAAAGTAGCACAGGTTGCACATATCTCCTGGCCAAGTTTTGCAGCAAGTGAGTGTGTGGATGCGCTAAGGTGGACTTTGTCAACTAAGACCTTGGAAGAATTTTCTCAATCTAGAACAATGAAACCAACAACATCTCAGAAATGTCAAAACAACTCAAGTCATACCCTCAGAATATTGTTCCCTACATTTGTGTCTCTAAGACATCAAATGAGCATCCCCCATTCCTGATGGGATGCAGATATAGTTTGATAGCAAGGAGATTAACCCCCTCCCCTACAGATACAGGAGAAAAACAAAATAATTAGAAATATTTGTCCCATCCTCCTTCCTCATTACTTCAACACTCTCCACCCTAATCGGTGACCCTAATCAGTGACCCACATATCCTTCTCAAGCATATAAACATAAAAAACAATAAACACCAAAATAATAAATTGACATGATATACCATACAACAGAATAAAGGACAAAAATCACATATTCATCACAAAATATACATAAAAGGTATTTGATAAAAGTCAATTTACCTTCATGATAGAAACCATAAGTAGGCAGAGAAAGAATGTATCTCTCTCTAATAAGGGTCATAAAATGGGCCCACAGTTAACAGGATGTCAAAAAAAAGACAGCTATCTGACAGATTTAAAACATGAAAAGGATATCCACTTTTGCCACTTTTATTAAACTTTGCCACTTAAAGTTCTTGACAAAGAAACCAGAAAAGATAAAGAAACGACATTTGAGTAAGACAGATGTAAGAAGATCATTTGCATATATAAAATCCTGAGGATTACACACACACACACACACACACACACACACACACACACACACACACACACACACAGAATTAGAGCTAACAAACCAATTCAGCAAAATTGCAGAATTTAAAGTACAGAGAGAAATATGGGTCACGCTATGATATGCAAGTAACAAATTATGTAAAAAAAAAAAAAAAAAGAAAGAAAACACCACATACCATTAGTTGCAAAAAACAAAAGAGATAAAAGTTATCTACAACTGTAACTATAAAGCATTAAAGAAATTGAATAGGAAGGAAAAATGCAAAATTCTTATATTAGAAGAATGAAAATTAAGATGTCCATTGTACCATAAGCAATGTACATTATGAAAATATAGTATCATGATGGGGCTTCCAAATTTGAATTTTATTAAAGTTGTCATGACTCTTCTGCTATCAATGCCATCACTCCATTTTCATTTTATGATTACACACCAACTTTTGTCATTTTAATAATATTCAAATTTTTGCTTACTTCACGACAATATTTCCCAAACTCCGAGCCTTCAGTTTTTGCATGTTGTCATCCAAAATCATAACTACAAGGTAGAATATAAGTAAATATGTGAACAAAAAAAGTACAAAACTAAAACTTACATTTTCCAATATTTTCTATCCCCAAATAACTAGCTTTAGAAAATAACCCTGTAATTCCTCTGAGGACACAAACATACTAAGCTAAAACATTTCCCAAAAATGTGGAGAGCAAGAGTTTGCCTCCTCACATTCATAGAGGGGAATAGATTTTCATTTAAATTTTTAAAAAGATTTATTTATATTTTATTGGAAGTAACAGAGAGAAAGATTCTCTGCTGATTCACTCCCCGAATGGCCACAATGGCCATGGTGACTAAGCCAATCTGAAGCCAGGAGCCAGGAAACTCCTCTGGGTCTCCCACACGAGCAGTGTTCCAAGGCTTTGGGCCATCCACTACTGCTCGCCAAGGTAAAAGCAGGGAGCTGGATGGAAAGGAGAGCAGGACAAAAACCAGCGCCAATATGGGATCCTGGTGCACACAAGATGATGACTTGAGCCAACAGGCTATCACGCTGGGCTCTAGATTTTCATTGGAATTCAAGAATCTCTCTCAAAAGTTTATTGCATTGGCTGATAATTGTCATTTAACTTATGCACATTTAACATAACCTTTTAATTTATTAAGATATAAAACATGCTCAATTAAAGGAAATATTTTAAATGCATCAAAATATAAGCAATGAAAATAAAACATTGAAAAGTCTGAAAAATTCTTTAGTATGATTGAATTCTATCACTTGATAAGCTTTGAGTTACATCAGTTTAGTCTTCCCAAACATCCCATTGCTTTGTATGCTATTCTGAACGCATTTACAAGATAAAAATGTATATTTATAGTAACTCTTATTACAAACTATATATGAAGCCAAGTCTCTCTAAGCTTTAATAGATGCATTATGTTGCTTCATTTATCCTAAATATTCTACTGTGAACAGCTTCTAAGAAGTAAAGGATGTTGTTTCTGTCTCCTTGATTGTGTTACAAAAGTTCTACATTTTAAAATTCTACTTTGGGAGTCCAGTTCAGTGGCTATAAACAGGCAACTCTGGTCATTGTAACCATTTGGGGGAGTGAACCAGGGAATAGAAGATTTTTCCCACTGTTTCTCCTTCTCTCTGTAAGTCTGCCTTTCCAACAAAAATGTTTCTTTTAAAAAAAAATCTGAATTTGACAATTAATCGAGGTATAACTATCTGTATTTCACTAGATGGTGAGTTTGTTACTGTTAGAGGCAAGTTTAATTTATTTTTACTTCCCTAAGTCAGAGTTGTGAAATGACCAGGTGCTGCTGGGAACATTCTTCTATCCCTCCAACTTTCCCTTACGTAAAATGGGAGCAACGCCCTTCTCCGTGTTGGTAGGAGAATTACACTGCCGGGATGCAGCGAAGGGTATCAAACGCTTGTAAACTTAGAAGCTTGCATAAGACACTCAAAGACTGTGACACTGTTGTATTATGCCTTTCACAGAAAAATTATGTTCTTTCATAAAGGAAAGGTCACTTATGAAATATTGTAGTAAGATTTTTGGACCTCTGGGGGAAAAAAAACAAACATTAAAACAGTTAATTATACAGTCACTTGTTCCTTGGTCATTGATGTTTAACCTGTGCTGTCTGCCAGTCAGTTGCTTTCAGACGAGAAACTTCTGTATTGAAGTTTCACAAGGTATCAAAGCTTAACTCTCTCTTACAACTGTATATAAAAGCGGCATTGAAATACTAATGCGAAATGTGTTTAATGTCTCCTACAAGCAAAAACTTAAAAAGTGTCTCAACACAAAAGCATCTTTTGTGATAAAAGGATGACAGAACTGTTCCAATCAAGTATTTCTCTGCATCAGGGCCTACTATTCCATGGCTGGTGAAGTCATTTCATAAAACACCTACCTCTGCCCTGAATAAAAAAAAAAAATCCAAACCATTTTATAAATACATTTGTCATGTTAAATAAAATGATCAGTAGCTTCTAGATTAATCATTGTCCTAGAAACAAAAAATAAATGTCTTTTTGTTAGATAAGCACAAAGCAAACCTCTAAATTTGTAGTTTACCTATAAATAGAGAACATGTCAGGAATCATGTCCTGACTCTCCAGGCTCCATTTTCCTCATAAAATCTAGCAAACTAAACCATGTGGATATCACACAACTTCTGCAGCTCACTGCCCCTGTCTGGTTCTAGGTTGGTCTCTCCAGCTTCTATGAAATTATCAGTAGCACTGCTAGCCAAGATCTACATCACTGTTTCAATCGGTAGCCAGTCATTAACACTAACTTCAGATTTAGGAATAAGACAACTGAATGGACAACTTATATCCACCGTACAACTCAACAGTCAAGTCCAGGAAACGATTATGATCACAACCTTAAATTCAAAAACAAATATTGGTAGGGTATTTCATTTCTTTGTCACACAAAGCTAATTTGGAAGACATATCTCTTGTATTTGTTTTTGTTTTTTTGTCAACAAAGTTCAAAAATCTTATCTTCCGGTTTAAATGAAAAGTAGTACATGTAATAGGAGTAAGCTACAGCTTTGATTGAAAACGTGAGGAACAAACTACAACACAATAATTTGTACTGAGACTCTAGATGCTTGTTTTACGTTAAGAAATCTACCTATGGCCTAAGGGCATCAACTGGCTCAGCTCAGAAGTTGTTCTCAATTGCATATACTTTGGGAGTAAATGAGGTGTGTAAAGGACTTGGCACATGTCAAGTACTCCATAAAAAACCATTTCACACCCATATTTTTAATATACATAAAATGATGTTAGCCTTTTGATTAGGGCATTGATTTAGAATCTGTCTTCGGAAACGCACCTTTCTTTGGATGGTAAAATTTAAAGCATCTATTTTTTATATCATGCATTCAATCCATCAAATATTTATTAATCACTATGTTTCTGGCAATAAGATACACTTTAGCTACAGCAAAATATCAAGTCTGTTAATATTACATACTGCAAAAAACTGCATTCATTTCTTACCATTGTATCCTGGGACACATTTTCCTGCTTGTCCTGGGGGAGGTGTTTTTGAATTACCTAATCCAATGCACGAGGCTGTAATTGGGGATCCGGTCTCTGGAAAAGAAATACAATGTGTCACTTAGTGTTCAACTGAGAATTAAGGTGTTTGTACACCCTATCCCCATCAAGTCGGCCATATTATTTAACTACATTATAGAGAAACACAGCAATTACATAATTTCTAAAAAATAAAAATAGTACTTTATATTATATTTAAAGTTTAAAACTTAAGGGTAGAAAATTACATAGATACAGATAAATCATATGTATGTGTACCTACTTTTAAAGATAAGAAGTATTGCTACAGCATTTCAGCTGAGGAGCAGCAGGCATAAAAAGAGAATTATGTGACCACTAAAATTGTATTTTACAAGGTAACAGTCATCATATCACTAGAAAGAATGTATGCAAAACTCAATCTTAATTATTGTAATTTACAACTCTGTACAAAGTTGCATCTGTTATTTATACCTTATTGTATGAACTAAGCAATCTATATACTTCCAAGTACAGAATATCATACTTTAGGAAGAAATACCCTTGCACCAAGAGCCTACATTGAAAGCAGCATTGGCCAGTGCTCTGGAGAATTACTCCCAGTCTTATCTTGTGTATACTATTTTATTTCATCAAGATCATAAACTTGGCCCCAATTAGATTTCATCAATGAATAATAAGGTTAATTGTCTTATCCATCACCAGTGATGATAGCTAGAAACATAGCTATTATCTGATACCCGACTTCTTAAAGTGATTATCTTCTATACACAAGTGCATTTGTGATTATTTCTAAATACCAAGGTGTAGTTAACAATATCTTTTTTAAAAAAATTAACTTATTCATATAAACACATTTTAGATACTTTATCATATATATCTTATCCCCTGTCCTACCCACATTCCCCATCAATTCTTCCCTAACACAGTATTTTTAAATTTTTAAAAATGTGTGCACATGACTTGAAAGATTGAACAGCACGAAATTTGGGAAAGGGGTCGGCATTGCAGTGCCACAGATGAACTGCCTCCGGTCAGATTATTGGTTAGTTTCAGATACTCTGCCATTGATCCACATCCATACTAATGTGCCGTGGAAGCAGCGGATAACGGCTCACAACCATGGCTTCCTGCCATCCATAAGAGACCTGAATGGAATTCCCGTCTGCTTTCCTTTTGGTCCAACTCCAGCTTTGCGGCCATCTGAAAAGTGACCCAATAGATGGAATATCTTTCTCTCTGCCACCCTGTTGTTCAAATAAGTAAAAGAACACTTTAAAAGTCTGGTGGTAATCACCTTTATATTATGTACACAAACATGTACATACTAAGAGCATTAATTACGAAACCAGTCATAGCCAAAGTAACACAAAAATTCGAAACATCTTCCTAAGTGCTCAGAATGTATTCCATCAACCATGGTTTCAGGCATAATTTATCACATATTCATATCACTTGAGAGTGATGGGGAACATTTATTACTGTTCTGTACCTTGCAGAGTAGTTCATTTTATTATTCATATTTTATGGATGGTGGCTCATCTGGCATCAGTAACTGAAGATGGACTCTGGAACATTAACACTCGCTCAGTGCTCATGATGCTAAGCCACGTGGTCACCACGGAGGGTAATAACCAAGTAACTGGAACAGAAATTTCTGATGTGTAAGACTTCTGAGATGTTTCAATGACACAAAAAATTGGAAGGTATTTTTTGAAACAGGATTCCTTAGTGAGGCAGCACTCAACCTATTTCCACCTAACAAAAACCAAAATATGGGCAGGAGTGCTCAGAGGTGGAATCCATACAGTACTTTCCCTTTGTCTTTTTTCGAACACAGCTTGGTATTCCTCTGAGCTCTCCTTCAAAATGACCCCAAGACCAAAAGGCAATGGATACCTTGCAGAATCAGGTGCTTAAGCAAAGCTACACAATGCTAAAACATGGAGACTCGGATAGAAGCTGCTAAGGCAAAAAAAGAGAGACCATCTCTTCTAGAAGTTCTCTGTTCTATGGCCCACCCTGGTAAAGAGCAGTCACTAAATTCTATTCCTCCAGTATGGTCTAATGATAGGGACACTGTACTCATCTAGAATGCAAACATGTTCTTAACATCATAAGGCCTCCACAGTTAGTCAAGAAGTGACTGTAGAATCCACAAATGTACCTACCAAAGCTTTAGAATCCATTGCCTAAAGAGAAACAAACAGACCAGGACACCACTGTAAGTGTCCAAACTGTGTACCATTCTTCAGCTTAACTCAATGAGGATTCTTACAAAAGATGTCAGTTCTCTGCTCTGCCAAGCCCACCTAGAAGGCAATGCGGAAAGAGGAAGGGAAAGTAAAACCTAGTAATACAGAAAGATGGTAGCAGGAGTGACAAAGCACCACCAACCACGAATACCTAAGCAATCTGGTGCAGAAACGTCTTTGTAATCTTTTTAAGGATTAATTCATTTGAAAGGTAGTTACAGAGAGGGAAGGAGATACAGTGGGAGATGGAAAAAGAGAGAGGGAAGAGAAGGAAGCAGAGAAAGAGAGAAGAAGGAAGAGGGAAGAGAGGGAAAGACTATTGAGAAAGAGGAAGGGAGGAAGGAAAGGGGGAGAAAAGAGGAGAGGGAGAAGGGGAGAGGAAGAGACTTTCCATATACGAGTTCACTCCCCAGATGGAAAACAGGAGTTGGGAACTCCATCTGAGTCTCCAACATGGAGACCCACTGCGTTAAGCCATCTTCCACTACCTTCCCTGATGCATGAGAAGGAAGTAGCACGAGAAGCAGAGCAGCCAGGGCTCAAATTAGTGCTTCAGTATAGGATGCTGATATCACAAAGGCTTAACCTACTGTGTCACACCACTTCCTCATTGATCTTTCAACCTTCAGCAGCTTCTAGTTAATGATTAATATCTTTATATCTTTTTATATGTGATTATTAAGCATATTCAAAGTCCCTAAAAGGGATTTCCTATTTAAGTTATTTGAACTAGGTAATCTAATGTTTTTACTCTGAATATCAGTAATGCAAGTTTTCTATTGACCTTATTTTAGGGATTGGAAGAGAAATGTTAGTGACACAGCTAGGATGTAATCACACAAAATGCAAGTTCCTAGGAGTCAACGTACAATAAAGTGTCATGAGAGACAAGATGGAGAAATTGATCTTAAAAGTTGTTACAATGTCTTTTTTCTCTTTGTACTGCCAGATGCCCTAGAATCCACTGACTTGTTCATTTGCATCAGAATTATGTACATGTGCTCTCATACATTCATCTACATAGACCATACATGTAGGCTCTCCAGCCTGTCCACCTGAGGAATAGAATTCTGGTTCACTGCATTCCTAAATGAATGTCTTTAGGCCTTCCAATGTCTCATTGCAAAGTAGTTCTAAAAATATCTGCTTCACAGGACTCAAGCTAAAATTAACTACCAGCTATCAGTGAGACAAGAGATCATGACAGATGTCATGATGGGATTGGGAAACGACAATATTAAACAAAGCAAATTATTCTGTTAAAGATATGGGCACTTTTTTGGAGGTGTCTTTGCAAAGGTACCACATAATGCTCAGTAAGGAGCCACATCATTTTTTTAGATAAGCAAAAACCTGAAAAAAGGCAGAAAGTTGAAAATTGTGAAGATTGTCAAAACAGCAAGTTTAGACGTTAATACCAAAACTCAGCTTGTTAATATTTTTAGCATAACCCTCACCATATCCAAAATTCCTACTCCCAAATTATTTGTACTATCTCACTCATCATTACAAAGTGAATTATTAATTTAAAATTTTTTGCCTGCTAAGGAAAAGAAATTATTACTAATTTATATATTTTCAAAAGGGAAAAAATATATGTTAAAACATTGGGTTTAAGTATATGACTTTAGTGAAAAAGGTAAGATCCTTCTAGAAATAAAAATTGCTGAGGCATGGCAAAGAAATTTTAAATCGTCTTAATTCACATTGCTCTTTCAAAGGAGATAATGGAATGGACAAGGACACCAGTTCTGAGATTCTCCAATTGAAGAAAGACGACAGGTTGAGAATAGAACCCATCCAGAAAGCGTCTTGACAAAGGAAGATAAACTGTGATAGGCGTGAGTTCCATGTGTCACACATGCAAACCAACATGCTACAAACCAAGTGTTAGAGAAGAGATGAGTGGCTGTGCGGCACTATATAGTGCTGCTACAACTGAGGACACAGCAACAGATCAAAGCAACCCACATTCCTGCTCTCATGGGATCAGCTACGAAATAAAAGGAAATCTGTGGATACATTTTACAATTTCATATTGTTGGCCAGAAAAGGCCTCTGTGAAAAAGTGTCATTTGAATAAACAACTGAAGGTCATAAAAATGAAGGGCAAAAGAATCCAGAAGGAGGGAATGTCAGCTGCGAAGGTTCCACAGGGTGTTAATGCCTGGAGCTTTTAGGAACACTGAGTTGGCCACCACAGCTGAAGCAGGGTCAATCAAGCTAAGTATCACTAGGAAATACAATCAGAGAGACATTAAGAAAACAGATCATGTAAGACTGTAAGACAACCTCAGCGCCCTCACAAGGCCTTAAGATTTTGGTCTGATTTTGTAAGCTAATGAAGGATTCTGTGCAAAGTGTTAATGGAGTACAACAACGTAATGATAATTAATACACCTGTATCCCATTTAGGTTTTGTGTTCAGAGTTAGTCTATTTGGACTTCAAGGAAGTTGTGTGGGGAAAAATAGAAAGACGTTCATATATTGCTATTAGAAGAACTACTTTTCAGATACCTGTGGCTTCTTCAACATCAAGAAGCAATACACATGAGAATTTATAAGATGAATAGAAAGACTAGGTACCAGTTCAAAAACGAACTGTATTGGTAGATGATACGCATATACACGCACACACACAAAGTCAGGTAACTTGTGCAAGTGCTAGGGTGCATATAATCAGTACAGCATTTCTGAAACATTGACAGTTCTTCTAAAACAATTTTAAGAATGAATACCCCCAAGCCTGTTAGCTTACTTTATATATTATTTTGCAGAGAAATAATTATAGATATTTGTAA